AAGCCTTGGATTTTCATCAACAAGTCAGAGGTACATGTGTGAACCTGCCATCTGTCCTATAAGTACCTGGAGAAGAAAGACCAAGATGCAATGTTCAGATCAGCAAAAGGATCACTTTAGCAAATCCTGTGGACAGGGACCAGTGACCTGCCTTTCTAGTTTTGCCCTTTGCCAAATCACCTTTTTTTGAACGTGCGCACGCGTGTGTGTATGAATGAATCAATACCTGTAATTTAGCAATATACCACATTGGTAACATCACTTTAATACTTTCTTTGGCCATTTTGCTTTTAACAAATATAAACAAACACTAAAAAGATTGGTTATAAGATCTACAAAGTTTAGATGATGGTCTTTTATTCCCTTAATAGGCATTTCTACTTGAGATCACATTTGTTCTCTCCTTCACATATTACAAATTATAGAGATGCTAAGTTTGATTCTCACACAAAAATTGTTCAAAGAATAAGGCAGCACAACTCCCTAATTCTAATTTATTTGAAAAAGTGATTGTGATCAGACTTCTTGAACTGCAGCAGTCCATATGTCGACGGTACTCTTACAATCCTGTCAGATTTGAGCTCCAGGATTCTGATCTAGTGATGGTCAAGGAGCTTCTATATATTTTCAAGTTGGGATTGTGAGAGAATGATTTGGAAGGAAATATGTTATTGGTGGCATTTTCCTGTGCTAGCTGCCCTTGTTCTCCCAAATGGTAGAAGTCCCAGCTGTGGAAAGTAACTTTAAAGAAGAGTTGGATGCTACACCTCATCTTGAGGATGTCTAATGTGTATGCATAAGGGAGGATCCATTAGAACAGTTAATTTGTGTGCAGAAAGTAAAATAAAGGGAAAGAAAAATATAATCAAGGGGGAGAAATAAAAGAGACAGCAGTAATAAAAGAGTGGTAGTAAATGAAAAGAAAGTTTACAATAACAAAAACTCTGAAGGAACAAGACTACTTAATTATAAAAGGTTAATTTTCAGAGAACTTGCTTGGCCATAATCAGGAATTGCACGTAACCAGTACAGCAGGCTTTCTGGTACAGCAGGGCAACTCTGTCAGCAATTTAATTTTAATTTTTAATTGTACATTTGTGGCTGTACAAGTTGCTGTCTGACTTGCTCATGTATAAAGGACAGCATCAGTGTTCTGCTAACGGTGTTTTCTTTTGTGCAGACCTCGAAGGGCCATGTGTCGTAGCGAATTCCAGAACCAGAAGTCAATGCTAGGAATGGATGATCATGCAGCCTCTTGGAGCAGCTGCACACACAGGCAGCTGAGAAGGATATTATCGGCATTGATGACATCACTTATTTTCAATGCAAAATCCGAGCAATATTTTGCCATTTTCTTCAATGTAATTATGAAAATAAACCCTAGATTTAAAAATTTATCAAGTCATCCTACAATGCTGAAATTTGATAAAATATATTGCTAGTGTCACCCAAAAAATATACACACCAACTTACTGCTCATCCCTTTCTGTGAAAAAAGGCAGCTGGGGAAAGTTGTAGTAGCTTCTTTTTATTACGTCACAACCAATATCATTAAATTTGAACTCATGAAAAAAGTAAAGTAATTTCATGATATGAGAAGAGCAATATGTCGCAAACTATTGGTTCCGAATTTGTTTTTACCTGCCCTGCCAAATCATCTTTTTCTTTATCCAACTGAGAAAGTCGAAGTCCAAGCTTACATCGTGTTTTCAATTCTTCCTCCCACAGTTGATGAGAATCTTTCACACTTTGTGATAACATAGTTTGTTTTTGCACCTAATCAAATATGCATAACAGGAACACAACAAGAAAGATGTAAATTCTTTACCCTCTATACACAAGATCATCAGTTCATTACATATTAGAGATGACATTGACAATCTGTATTTAAAGAGTCAAAAGCAAGAGACACTGTGAAAGCTTTCATAGAATAAGATCTAAAGGTTTCAAGATATTCTCATGCATATTCTCTTAGAAGTCTGAGAAATTCATTTTTAGAAGATATTAAAATATAGCACAGAAACTATATTAGTATAAGATATAATTATTCTAGCTAAGAAATAAAATCAGTCATTTTAAGCTGATATTGGTTGGCTCACTGAGCTAGTTCATTGTTTTTCCACAGACGTTTCACTACCCTGCTGGGTAACACCATCAGTGCAGCCTCCGATGAAGCACTGTTATGTTTTCCCGCCTGTTATTTGAACTCTGGAGTCCGTTGAGCTGGATTACCTCACTTCCGGTTTTCCTTCGCAGTGGAGTGTAAATGGGGTCGAGCTCTATGTGTTTGTTGATGCCTTTCTTCGTGGAGTACCATGCTTCTAGGAATTCCCATGCTTGTCTCTGCTTTGCTTGTCCCAGAATCTTGGTGTTGTCCCAGTCGAATTGGTGGTTCTCATTATCGCACTCCACCGCGAAGGAAAACTGGAAGTGAGGTAATCCAGCTCAACGGACTCCAGAGTTCAAATAACCGGAGGGAAAACATAACAGTGCTTCATCAGAGGCTGCACTGATGAGGTTACCCAGCAGGGTAATGAAATGTCTGCGGAAAAACAACAAACCAGCTCAGCCAGCCAACTAACCACAACATCCACAACCCGAGCTACAAATCTATTCTAAAACCTTAGAGTCATTTTAAGTGTTAATGAAGAGATAATGACGAGCTGTGCTGTTTTGGTTGCAGGACTAAATATATCAAGATTACACTGTAAAGGAAATATCAGACCTCCTGACCGAGTTGATCTTCCAAGTTAACCTTTACCCCTTGTAAACTTGTTATCAAGTCTTCTAGACGAGTGCGGACCTGTTGAAATAACATTGGAATAAATAACATCATTTCCTGCCTGATTATCATCCATTTGCAAGCAAAGGAATGAAAACTACCGCCCCTAAATTTAGGATCACTGCAAAATAACAAGGCCTTAAGTAAAGACTTGATAGTCAAGGGAAAGAAAATGCCTTGGGATTCCCCAGGGAAAGGTACTGAAAATAAAACAGAAAAGGTATAAAGCTATGCATTGAAAAAAACTTAACTGGTGAATCTTCAATGCAACAGTAACATGTGAACAGGGCATAAAGTACTGCACATTCCAGTGACATGCTGTGATAATTCAACATTCTTCTTCCCCAGACTTCAAATTAAAAGAATTTCATGCAAAATATCAGCTTAATAATACAAAATGTTACAATTTGTATCGGTTATCCTCAGAAACAGTGAATGTAGTGCTCAATTGTTGGTTGCATTTATGTGTATACCCAAGCCCACAAAGAACAATGAACTATGACCTGTAGGTCAATGTGACTGGTTTAACTAATAGATGAAATGTTACCTTGGATTCCCTTTTGTATACTAGTTTGCTTTTCATTTTCAGTCTACACCACTGTCAGAAACAATACGAACAAGTCTCTTCCTGTCCAATGGCAAATCTTCTTGTGGTGATACATGAAAACTAGGTCCCTTGCGACTTCCGGCTAAAGCTTTAGAAGAACCTGGAGGAGACTTGGGCCCCCAAACAAGCAGCAATCAAGCACGCTGACAGGTGAACACACCAAACTCCCAGCTATAGGTGAATAGCTCCACAGCTCTGTAGATACCTCAGGAGATTAGAGGCTAAGGGAGTAAATCCTAATCCAAAAAAAAAAATTGTACTGGAGTCCAAAGGCAAACCGATATCAAACCATGCCATCTTTCCAGCAACTCCTGCAATCAATCTAGTGTTAAATGTGGTGGAACTGAAGTTTATGTTTCTTTGGAACAACCATTGAGGTTGGAAGGAGGAATATGATGTTATGCAGTCCAGCATCTCCATAAAGTTTGCCCAAGCTTTTGTCCAAAACACCATAAGATCTAACAGCAGACTGAGACCATTCAGCCCATCGAGTTTGCTCAGCCATTTCATCATGGCTGATGTTTCTCAACCCCATTCTCCAGCTTTCTCCCATAACCCTTGATTCCCTATCCAGTTCTGTCTTAAATACACTCAATGACTTGGCCGCCACAACCCTCTGCGGTAATGAGTTCCACAGACTCACCACCCTCTGGCTGAAGAAATTCCATGTCATCTCAGATTTAAAGGGTCATCTCTTCGCTCTGAGACAGTGTCCCGGGGCCTCATGTCTCTTACTGGTGGAAAAATCTCCACAACCACTCTATCCAGGCCTTTCAGTATTCTGTAAGTTTCAATCAGATTCCCCCTCATCTTTCTAAACTCTACTGCGTACAGATCCAGAGGCCTCAACCACTCCTCATATGACGAGCACTTCATCCCGAGGTCATTCTTGTAAAACTCCTTTGGACCCCTTCCAATGCCAGCACATCTCTCCTTAGATATAGGGCCCAAAGCTGCTCACAATATTCCAAATACAGTCCGATCAGAGCCTTATTCAACCTCAGCAGTACATCTCTGCTCTTGTTTTCTAGCCCTCTTGAAAGGAATGCCAACATTGCATTTGCCTTCCTGACCACCAACTGAACCTGCACGTTAACCTTAACAGAATCTTGAACTGGGACTCAAGTCCCTTTGCGCTTCAGATTTCCAAAGCCTTTCCCAGTTTAGAAAAAAGTCTATGCCTCTGTTCATCCTGCCAAAATGTATAACCTCACACTTTGCCAATGTATTCAGTCTGCCACTTCTTTGCCTACTTGCCTAGCATATCCAAGTCCTTCCGCAGCCTCACCACTTCCTCCCCTTATCTGTACCATCATCTTTGTATTATCTGCAAACGTAGTAACAATGCTCGCAGTTCCTTTGTCCAGATATTTTATACATTAACAGAGTAGATGTGGTCCCAACAGTGACCCCTTCAGAATCCACTAGTTACTGGCTCCCATCCTGAAAAAGACCCCTTCATCCCTACTCTCTGCCTTCTACTAGTCAGCCAATCCTCTATCTATACCAGTACCTTGCCCCTAACACCATGGGCTCTTTAGGAGTTTCCTGTGCAGCACCTTGTGAAAGGCCTTCTGTCTAGGCTAGACATCCCAGGATTGCTACAAAGGCAATAATTTCACCACCTTAATCTGGCCTGAGGTCAAACTTAGGTCCGAGAAGTAAAACAACAATGCTTTAGGATGTGGCAGTGTATGGTTGCTGGTGCATTTTCATTTTCTAAAAGTATTATGTTTTGGAAAAAAAAGTGCTTATACCAAGGGAAAAAAATATGAATTGGAAAAAGTTTTGAAGAAAAGCATTTAAAAGCCATTTTTCCCTTGATTAAAGGGATTTCATCGAGGATTACCCTATGGACATTAAGTGGCATCAGTGACCAGGGCTTACCTCAGCAGCAGTATGCTATAAGAAACTCCAAAACCAGTCTAAAGTAACTTAAAGGTTAGGAACCAACAGTTTGAAAAAAGGAACAAGGAGTTAGTTTGCAAGGAAATTGGAATTAATTTAAATGATGCCAAGCTAGCTAACATATCCAGGACATAGCTAGTTAAAGGATGAGTTGTAACTTATGAATGTCTATATATAGCTTAAGAAAGTTGCTGCCAGACTGTAGAGCTGTAGATGATCAGCATTAACAAGCTTAACAAAAGTACACACTGTTTAGCTATGCAAGCTTCAGACGGCTTAATCATCGAACCAAGAAGGTTGAATGACTTCATGCGATCTGGAACTATTGGTTTGGAGATCAATATAGCTGCCACAAATAAATGCAGTGGCATGAAAATGATTTCTTAAGTCTTGTTCAGTGTAAATAAAACAAATTATGATTATAGCACACAAGATGACCCTTTGGCGTTTTGCATCCGTGGCACTAATTTGTTAGAGCAATTCAAAATTAACTGCACTGCGCATTTCACTTCTCATGTACATGTAGTTTAGGTAACAGAGAAGGTTCTACAAGTGATTTCAACAGTTAGTTTGCAGCTTGCTTTCAAAACTCCTTAGTATCATATGAACATTTGCAAATAAACCATTTGCTCATAAGGAGGAAACCACAAAGTCCAAAAGCACCAAATCAAAAATCTCATGAGATATTTGATTCAGATCTGGAATACTAAATAAGTGAAAAGCTACTCAACAATCCAAGAAAATCTAAACTGGTTCACAAAACGTTGCTCTGAATCATTCTCCAGTAATTGAAATCTCAACCCTGAGTGTTGCTTAAAATATTTGAATATCTCTGTTAAAGCTTGTCCTTACAGTGAAGTATTGTTGCATGCAGCATCTAAACTGGGGAACTCACCTGAATGTTGCACCAAGTCAGAAGCAGTGAGTGTGGGCTCTGGGGAAGAGTAGGCAAAATTGTGGGGTGGGGTTGGGGTGGGGTGGTGGAGAAGAGGAGAGGAGATGACAAATTTGGGGTGGGGTGCGACTGGACAAAGTGGGGGCAGAAAAAAAGAGGCCAAGGCTAGTTGGAAGTAAGGATGGCTATGTGAAGCAGGGTAGATCAAGGAAAGGTTCATAGAAGGAGGCGTGCATTAAAGAAAGCGGCGGGTAACCAATACTTGGTCGGCTGGATTTGTCACGACTGACTCAACAGACTACAGACTACAGTATCCATGAGTACAACGCCAATTACCCCATTCAACAGTCCAATACCCTACCATTTCTCTTAACTTACTGAGCTTAATAATGTTCTCATGGCTTAAACTTTTATTCATTTACTGATTGTTGGTATTGTTGGCTATGCCAGCATAATTTCCCTCAAGGAGGCGGTGGTGAGCTGCCTTTTTAAGCTGGTGCAGTGCTTGGGGTGCAGGCACACAAGTCCCAAGTCAGAACATATGGGACTTGAAGGGGAACATGTTCACAAGCATCTGCTGCTTTTTCCTGCTGGTGGAGCAGCTTTGGTGAGCTACCATTGGGAATCTTGTCGAGGAAATGCACGACTAACGTTAAGCATCAGTGGTGGATGCAGTGAATGTTGAAGGCAGCCGACAGTGTGCTAATCAAGTGGGTTGCTTTGTCCTGATGGTATGGAGCTTGTTAGAGTTGCACCCAACCAGGCACCATAGCAAACATAAAAGCCACCACTAAATAAAGATTGGGAACCTAATCCATAAATCCAACCAGTCAAACTGTAAAAATTCCAGTTATCCGCTATCATCCATTCCATTGTCTCCCTAACTTTCATTTTTTTTTTCTCTCTGGGCTCCATTTCTGCCTATCTGCTCATTTCCTCCCCCACTCCCCCTACCCCTACCTTTACCTTAAGCATAAATACCACCTTTTCCCAGCTACGGTCAGTTCTGAAGAAGGGGCACTGGACTCAAAACATTAACTCTGCTTTCTATTCTCAGATGCTGCCAGACCTGCTGAGTCTCTATAGTAATTTCTGTTTTTGTTTCAGATTTCTACATCCGCAGATCTTTGTTTTAGTTTAGGACAGAATAATAAGTTGGTAAAGGTGGCATTTGGGATGCTTTCCTTCACTGGGTGAAGTACTGATTTCAAGAGTAGGTGTGTAGTAGCTGAAGTTTTGAGTACATTTCTGATCACATTATAGGAAGTACATCATTAATCCAGTGAGGGTACAGAGGAGTTTTACAAGAATGTTCCCAGGGCTTGAAAATTACAGCTATGAGAAAAGATTCGATACACTGTGGTTGTTTTCTTTAGAAAAGGAGGGGCTGAGGGGTGATTTAATTGAATTAATAAAAATAATGACAGACTTGAATAGAGTGGGCAGGTAAGGTTAGTTTTCCTAAAGGAAATTTCAATTGCCAGGGACCACAGAATTAAGGAGATTGGTAGAAGGATTAGAGGGGACATGAAGAAAATCCTTTTCACACACACGGTGACCGATGCATGGAATTCACTGCCCAGTTTGCTTGTTGAGGTGAAAACCCTCAAGTCCTTTCAAAGAAACCATACATTTGATGCATGGTGACCTGTAAGATGAAGGGTCAGGACCATGTAAGACGGATTTAAAATTTAATTAACTTTTGTCTTCACCTGGTCCATCCGACTCTTTCCTTACTCAACTCCTCTTTCTTAATTTCTGTTTATCGGCTGTTGAAACAGATCAATCTAAAGATAGACATACGTACTGATGCAGTATCTTGAAGTTCTTTCTCCATTAGTTCAGACTTGTTTGCCTGCTGTTTTGCGACAGACTCCAATTTTGCATTTTCAATCTCTAATCTGAAACAACAGGGTTAGGAAGTTGGTCACATTTTAGTTACTTCATCAATTTTTAAGTTTGTGAAATAAGAATGCTCAAAATGAAAGTGTGCAAAAGTCCCATCACTCGATTAATAAGAAATACCTTAGAGCTAGAAGAGGTAGGTGAGGTCCTAAACAAATACTGTGTGTCGGTATTCACCAGAGAAGGAATTGGTGGAGGATGATCTCAGGGAAGGACTGTTGAGTTTCTAAGCCAAGTTGCTATTAAAAAGGAAGTGATGTTGTGTGTCTTAAAAAGTATTAAGTTAGATAAGTCCCTGGGTCCTGATGGGACCTATCCTAGAATATTGAGGGAGGCAAGAGAACAAATTGCTGAAGCATTGACAGACATCTTTGAATCCTCTCTGGCCACATGTGAGGTCCTAGAGGACTGGAGAATAGCCAATACTGTCTCACTGTTTAAGGGTAGCAGGGATAATCCTGGAAAGGACAGGCCTGTGAGTCTCACATTAGTGGTCAGGAAATTATTGGAAAAGATTCTCAGAGACAAGATCTACATGCAACTTAGAAGCAAATGGACTGATTAGTGATAGACAGCATGGTTTTGTGTGCTGGAGGTCATGCCTCACTCACTTGGTGAGGTTTTTTTGAGGAAGTGACGAAGATGATAGATAAGGGAAAGGCTGTGGAAGGATGCTTTTCGGAATGGAGGGCTGTGATTAATGGTGTTCTACAGGGATCAGTGCTGGGACCTCCACTATTCGTGATCTACATAAATGGAGGAAAACGTAGCTGATCTAATTAGTAAGTTTGCAGACAATACAAACACTGGAGGAGTTGCAGGAAGTGAAGAGGATTGTCAGAAGACAGAGCAGGATATAGATCAGTCGGAGGCATGGGCAGAAAAATGGCAGATGGAATTTAATCCGGACAAATGAGAGCTGATGCATTTTGGAAAGTCAAGTGTGAAGTTATATGGTGAATGGCAGAACCCTTAGGAGTGTTGATATGTGGAGGGATCTGGTGTTCAGGTTCACAGGGGTATTGAGTACAAGAATAGACAAGTTATGCTACAGCTTTGCAGAACTTTAGTTCGGCCACACTTGGAATATTGCGTACAGTTCTAGTCACCACACTACCAGAATGATGTGGATGCTTTGGACAGGGTACAGAAAAGGTTTACCAGGATGTTGCTTGATATGGGGATTTTAGCTATGAAGGAAGTTTGAATAGATTGGGTTTGTTTACACTCGAATGCAGGAGGTCGCTGGGTGACCTAATAGAAGTTTATAAGATTGCGGATGGCATAGATACAGTTGAAAGTATGAGGCTTCCCCCGCCCCCCCTCCCCCCCTCCCCCCACCTCCAAGGTGGAGGGGTCAGTTACTAGTGGACACAGGTTCGGGTTGGGGGGGGGGGGAGGGGGTGTGGTGGTGGTGGAAGTTTTAAAGAAAATCGGTGAGGCAAGTTTTTCCACACAAAGGGTGGTGTGTGCCTGGAACGCATTGCCACAGGTGGTACTGGATGCAGCAGAACAACAGCAGCACTCAAGAGCACCTGGATGAATACATGAATAGGAAGGGAGTGGAGGGATATAAATCCAGTAAGCGAAGACAGAATGGAAGGGCAAAATGTGTCAGCATAGGCTTGGAGGGCCAAAGGGCCCGTTCCTGTGCTGTATTGTTCTTTGTTCTAACATAAGAAATAGCAGCAAGGACAGGGCATATGGCACCTCAGGCCTGCTCAACTATCAGATAAAATCATGGCTGATCTGATTATGGTCTTATTTTGTTGTTCTGCCTGACCCCACAACCTCAGCTCCCTTACAGATCAAAAGTCTAACTCATTGTTGAATATATGCAATGACACAGTCTCCACTGCTTTTTGGGGTAGAGAATTCCAGAGACGACAACTTTGCGAAAAGATATCCCTTCTCACCCACCTGTGCTCCCTAGTTCTAGATTCCCCGATGAGGGGAAACATTCTTTTTGCATCTATTATATCAAATACGTTTAGATAATTTTAATGAAAAACACAAGATTCTATCATTATTCTAAACTCCAGTGAGTATGGGCCCAATCTACTCAACCTTTCCTCATAAAATAATCATCTCATCACAGGAATCAACCTAGTGAACTTTCTCCTTACTGCTTCTAATGCAAGTATATCCCGACTCAAGCAAACTGGTCGGGCCCACAGATCGAATTAATTACCAGTGTAAATTCACTATTTGTGTGCTTTAGAAAGGCTCTTAAAATTAAGAAATTTTGGGCACAGGGACACTAATATCCAGCTTTTAGAGACATTTACATTCCTTCTAATTTACTAGAAGGCTGCACTTTTATCTAGTTAATAAACAGCTTTGTACAGTTTTCAGAATTAATTTTCAGTTCTTTAAAATAGGGTTAGTCACAGCTGATTAACTAGACACTGATTAAAAATACTTTAGATGAAACTGATATTCAATTGTATTGATAACTATGCTAGTTTACTAAATTTAAACACATCAATTCATATTTCTGAAAACAAAATACACATCTTTTGAAAATTACATTCTAAAGCCTTTTGCAATTGTGCTTATTCATGAAAGACTCTATATCTGACATGTAAACGCATTGGAGTGGAAGCTTGAGCTAAAAAGTTCATCTGAAAACCAGCGTAACGTACAGTGAAAATTGCATCGACATCACCAACTGTGCCCAATAAGGGAATTGGTCCAAGCTGTTTATTAGACTGAACAATGCAGTCACAGATTGAAGTCCTTTCTCCAATTTTATGACATCAAAATTGCCAACAATTACCGTTGTACATGTTCTTCAAGTTGCTTTGCAGCTTCCTTTGTCTGTGAAGAAGTTGACAAAACATCTTGCATTTTCTGAGAAGCAGCAATTAAATCACGTTCTTTATCATCCAGTGTATTCTGTAGGAGCTGGATTTTCCTCTCTGACTGTATGCACCTATCTTGCATGCCCTGCAGCTGTATGGTAAAAATGTGATAATTTAGTGTAAATATCCTACTTCATCACAAAAAAAAACTTCTGTAAAATCTTTACTTGTGTTTTGGGCAACATGTTAAACAGTTTGCTGGCTTCAACTTTGCATTTATTAGTGTTATGAGAGTTTATTCATTTATAGCATGCAGGACCTTTAAAATAGTTTGCAATAACACTCAAGCAAGTTAACTAAATAGGGCTGAGTTGTGCTCAGTATGTGGGAACTTTTGTGTTCTTGCTTTTTTTTTTATTCGTTCACAAGATGTAGGGATTGTTGGCTAGACCAGATTTATTGCCCACCATTAGTTACCTTGGAAAAGGTTGTGAACTGCCTTCTTGAACTACTGCAGACTTTGAAGTGTAGGGACACCAATAGTGCTGGTTAGGAAGGATGTTCCAGAATTTTATCCAGTGACAGTGAAGGAACAGTGATATAGTTCCAAGTCAGGATAACTTGTGGTTTGTAGGGGAACTAGTAGGTGGTGGTTTTCCAAGTTGCTGCTATCCTTGTCCTTCTAAGTAATAAAAGTCAGGGATTTGGAAGTGTTTAAAGCATCTTTGTGCAACATGCTGATGACAAAGAATCAAGAGCTCCCTCTTATAAGAGAATTCGTGTTAAACATTTACATTAGAAAAGTTACAAGTTTCTGGATTTCCACCTAGAGTATATTTGCAGCTTTACAAAAAAAAAAATGGTGGCCATTCTTACATACTGAACATTAATCTGATTCCTAATGAAATATGTTGATAGATCTTGTGGACTGCTCTCAGTTGGATATTCTGAAATTATTTTAATAAAAAGCAATTTCAAAATAATCTGATGAGCAGTTGGATTACACAATTACTGTAGGAATCTTTCACATTTATTTTCATTTTAGTTTATTGCTTGATGTTCATATTTACCTCGATTTTAAGCTTCTCCAATTGGTTCTGCAAACGTGTTTTCTCTTCCTCAGTTTCATTGCGATAGCGTGTAGTTACTTCCAGTGAGGCCTCTGACATTGAAAGTTTCTTTAGTGCATCAGCAAGCTCTTGTTGAAGCTGCCTCAATGTAGTCTAAAGAAGAATGTTTTCAGTGATTAGCAGAACACAAAAACAAACTTTATCAATGAAACATGTTTAACTTAGAAATGTGTTGCAAGGTGCTTTGAGGGGCATAATTAGGCACAAATGGGTTCTGACATGCAGCAAGACATATTAGGAAAAATGATGAAACCTTGGTTAAAGAGTAGGATTTTATGGGCAACTTTAAAAGGTAAAGCAGAGGGCTTAGGGAGGAACTTCTGAGGGGGAGGTCTATGTTGCTGAAGGTAGACCACCAACTGTGTACAAGGTGTTGGTTGGGCAGGAGGGAACAAAACAGGAAAGTCCACATATTGGCAAATTTGGTGAGAGGCGCTGAAGGACGGGGTGGGATTAAAGATAGGAAGAAGTCCCACCATGAAGGAAGCTTAAAAAAATGATGATTGTTAATATAGTAGTACCTTGTGATTGTAATTGTGATAAGCATGTTTGGGAGGAACAGAAGACTTTGGAACTATTGCCCCAAAAGCTGTTTACCTCAAGGTTTTTCATCACATCTATATGAGATTGGTAGACGTAATTAGTCAATGTCCTGACTTTCATTCTGTCATGCAATTATTAGGAAAGCAAATAGTGGACCAGATTTCTTCACCTAGCAATTCCCATATTCCGATGTAATTCAACTCAGGGACTAGGAGCTAAACTAAGTCCACAAGATCATAATGCGTGAGCAACACTTAATACAGGATGAAATACGAGCATCAGAATTTTGCACAAGTTGAATTAGAGGACATGAATAGTAAGGAATCATTGCCGTTATCAGTCGTTCCTTGATTTGAAGAGGAAACCTACTCAAGGTCACAAGTTTCTGCCACAGTCTTCAATTGATTTTCAGGCTGACTCTTGACCCACGTATCTTGAGGCAGGATATCTCATGAGGTCAGGGGATCTGGAGTCACCTTTCCATTTCTTTCCTGTTCTGCCACTACCCTGACTCATCATTAAAATGATTAATGATGGAGCTTGATGGGCAAATGGTGCTGCATTTCCAGGAAAGCTTCACGAGTCTTTGAAGTGATTTCTTTAGCCTTGCTTGGAGGGCTGGACAATTGAGAGTTGAGAAAACAGGATTTGGCAGAAGAAATGCTTTTTGGTCACTCAGATGCACTATTTGATGTACAGAAGTTTATTTTGCAGGAGTTTTACCTGAACGTTGAGGAGCTGACTTCAACAGGACACTAACGTTTGTTTAACAGTATTCCCACTGAATCTGGGTGATGCAGCAGAAGCAATACTGATTGAATTTTTCTAATGCTTTTGTTAGCATCCAGGTTTCATTGTAGTACATGAGGGTGGTGATGACAAATGTTATACCAACTAGGATTTTTGTAAGCAAGGTATGATGGTGAATAATGATAGTTTTGTCAGTGATCAAGGACAGAAGGATCATGGAAGATTAGGTTGATGGGTTATCTACGAATGCGAGTAGAAGAGTTTATATAGAATAATAATTTTGGAATGCAGTTCATTCACAGGATCGAGGTCAAAGTGTTGAAGTGGGGATAGTAAGCATCATGAATGTTTAGTTGTTCAACTGACAGGCTTAGGGACTTTGGTAAGAGGCAAGTTGTTGCTACCTTTGGTCAAAAGCAGAAAATCAACACAATCAACTATGATGAGATCATGAATGGCAGCAGCCTTGTTTGTCAGTAACCAGATATTGTTTGACACTGCTGTAGAGCATTGTCCAAAGCTCGTGGTGGGAACATTGAGCAAGACGGTAAGGAGGCTGATAAAGACCTCTAGGTGGGAAAGTTATTGGGCGAACAGGATGGGCTCAGTTAGGGTTTCTGCTCACCTGGAAACAAGAAGTGTTCATTAGCCTAAATGCTATCTTTTCCTAGCTAAATTCAGTTCTGAAGAAGTCACTGTACTTGAAAGGTTGACACTGTTTTCTCTCTACAGTTGCTGTAAGATCTGCTGGGGTTCTCCAGCAATTTCTGTTTTTGTTTCAGATTTACAGCATCCACATTTTTCCCCCAATAGGATGATATGTGATGTGGAGGGATGGTCTTATCAGCAAGGGCTAAAGTCATTGGAGTTTAGAAGAATGAGAGGTGATTTCATTGAAACATATAGAATTCCTAAGGGGTTTGACAGAGTAAATACTGAGAGGATGTTTCCCCTAATGTGACAGCCTAGGGCACAGTCTTAAATTGGCATCCTTTTATTCTCAGATGGAGATAAAGAGGAACTTTTCTCTTATAAGGTTGACTGCCTTTGAACTCCTTGCCACAGAGTTGTAGGGCAGAGTCCTTCTATATATTTAAGGCTGAGATGGATAGATCTTGATCAGTAGGAGAATCAAGGGTTACAAGGAAAAGACAGGAAGGTAGACATGAGCAATGTCAGATTATCCATGATGCTAATGAATGGGTGGGCAGGCTTGAGGGGCTAAATGGCCTACTTGTGTCCCTATTCCTTATGGTCTTATCGCTACATGCAGTGATTATTTGTTGTAAAGTTCTGAGAGGCATTCTGTATTTAGGGAAATACGTGTCCTATAAATTGAAGATATAAAGAAGGAAAATTAATTTGAAAGCTAACATCACACATACCATTATTAAACTTAGATTATTTAAAATAATTACTATGAAACACAACAGTAGACTCCTAACGGCAGACCAAAATGTATCTAGCCACCTACTCCAAAAACATATTGTCCCTTATTTATTTTATCAAACATCTATTGTGAGAAGTTTTACTTTCATCATTAGCAGTAAGCTAGCAGAGTCAGTGTTAGAGAATTGAATTTAAAATTCAAATTGAGAGAAACAAAGTCTAATTAGTTATTGAAATCTTAATTACTACAGTACCTCTCTCTCTATCTTCTCATTTTCAAACTTGCAGATTTGTTCTCTTTGTTCAATGGTCTTGCTCACTAGTTCCTTATTCCTCTCTTCCACTAAACATATCTGCCGTTCGCTATCTCTTCGAAGTTTAGAAAATATGTCACTGAAGCGGTCCTGAACATCAGTGACTGCTTTTTCCTTCATGATACCTTTGTTCTGTGCATCTTCAAGCTGCTGCCGCAATAGCATAATTTCGCTTTGCGCTTGTGCCAATCTCTCTTGCATAGACTCCTGACGAACTGTAAATTTGCTTATCTGTTCTTTTTGCAGTTGACTGGTGTGTTCTAGGTCATTTATGCGAGCCTGAGACTGATTCAAGTTCCTCTGAACACTCTCCAACATTAGGTTTTTTTCAGCAAGAGAAAGTGTTGCACGATGAAGTTCACTATCTAACTTATTGGCCTTTGCTTCCTCTTTACTTAATTTCTGTGACAAGCCGTTATTAGTCTCACGGAGACTGGAAATTTCATAGTTCCGTTTTTCATCTGAATGGTGCCATTCATCATGCTCCCTTTGAAGAATTTGTTCAGACTCACATTTAGCTGCCTGACTCCGTTCTAATTCTTTAAGTGCTATACTTAACTGTGAACGGACAGCTTCCATTTCAGTCTCCAGTTTTTCTTTGTTTTGTTTCTCATGTTCAAGTTTGGAAGTTAACATTGAGATTTCAGTCTTCAATGAATTCAATTGACTATTATATTGTAAAGCGGTGTGAGTTAAAGCTTCTTCGTTAAACTTCAAATCCTTTTTTGTATCATCTAGTTTTTCTTTCAAAGCCTCAATCTGCTCCAAATACTTTGCCTGTTCTTCCTGATTCCGTTCACGGACACGATCCAATTCAAGTTTAAGTACAGTAATTTCATCTTGTAGTGAATGATTTTGTTGCATCACATCTTTTTCGTTGTCATTAACATCACAAAGGTGAGCAACAACCTTCAAGACACAGAAAAATGACATTGAATAAAGTTTACAATGGCAAGAAGCTGCTATCAACATGACAACATGAATTCAACAAACTTTTAGTTTAAGCAGGTAGAAAATCATCCATCCTTTTTAATTTTCTTCAGTCCATTGATTTAAAATCAATCAGTATTACTTTGTAGCCAATCTCTCAAACGTGTATAGAAATAATCCATAATGCATTTCTCTTTGATGATATAGTGCAGCAATATATTAACACACTGGCTAGTGTTTTTTTTTAAACAGGATCTGTACATGCAACAATCTTCATTACATCACATCACTTCATTACATCACTTAAAAAAATCTAACAGGATGAAGATGTCTACACAGAGAAATATCAAAAGTTTGTAATTGAGGACATGAAGATACTTTTCGCAAAATATTGGCTGAAAAGAACTGGTGGCAACGTATGTTACCTGGAGGTCATATAACAAAACTCTACATACACTTATAAAAACAGGAAAGATTTGTTGCTACACTGAGCAAGAAAGTTAATAATAACAATAGCGAGACAAATAACAACATTTAAATGGACTACAGAATAATCTAATGTACAAACTACCAAAAATTTATATATGAATATATAGAATAATAAATTATGTTCCAAATTTTAAATTTTATTAGACTTGAATTCAGTCTTTGCAACTGAATTGTGGTTGATTTGTTACAACTCATCAGAATGTTGTCATGTTACCTTTTGTTGAAACTTTCTCAAAAACAATGAAGCAAATTGCTCTACACTTAAAATACCCTACAGATGGCAACAGTAGATTGCTTTTCTAAGGTGTACAATTAATACAGGTAGTCCAAGGGTTGCAAATGGATTCAGTTACCGAGTTTGCTAGCAAGTCAATTTGTATGCAAGTTGGAGCAATGCAAGGCAATACAAAGGAGCCACCCATTAGTACAGGAAATGTTCATATGTTGGGTCTTTAGAATTACATCCATGCAGAAGATCGCGCTCGTTAAGTACGAGTGTATTCGTAAATCGGGGACCCCCAGTACTTTTCCTATGGAGAGAAACAAACTCGAAACATTAACTTTGTCCAACACTCCACAGATGGTGCCAGACCTGCTGAGTTCCTCCAGCACTTTCGGATTTACTTCAGGTTTCCAGCATCTGCAATAAGTTAAAATTGAAGTTCCTAGAAATTTGAATTTCTTAGATTATAGTACAGTATTTATAGAGGTCAGATGCTTGAGAAATAGAACTTATTGTTCTCACCACTTGCATTTGCACAAGCATGTGAAATTTTTAGATCATCTGTGGTCATTATTTACATACCTCTGCATTTTTTAATGCTTTCTTGTCCTCCTTTTCTACTTCATGATTTCTGTGAAGATGGTTGTTGAGGATTTCTCTATGAACAGACTGTTCCCGGTTGAATTGCTGCTGTAATTCATTACGATCTTCATGAAGCTAAACATATTAAACAAAGTTTAATTAATCTGTTCTTACAAAAATTATTTCAGGATTAATAACTTAAATAGGGTTCCGTATTTTTTAGGCACATGACACTGAACAAATTTTACTTCTGTTGCAATTATTTGTTTCTATAATGCATATATTTTACAAATATAAGTTTTTGCTTTAAAAAAGACAATATAACTATTTGATTGGGAATTAAAGTGTCAAATGCAAGATAAATAGAAACAACTGATCGAGAAAATAATAATTCTGAAATAAGCACAAATATAGCAAAAAATGTTCATTTCATTTCAACAATAGAAGGCAGAACACAATGGATGAACAATCTTTTGTATGGATAACAGGTTTAAAGTTATTATAATATAGAATTTGGATTACTCATAGTTCCGAGGGAGGGAGAAGGGAGGGAGAAGGGAGGGAGAAGGGAGGGAGAAGG